ACAGACATACAGACATACAGACATACAGACATACAGACATACAGACATACAGACATACAGACATACACCACAAATAGCAGAAAAATCATTGATAATAAATATTTCAAAATTTTGTGAATTAGAGAGGAGTGGAAACCCCCGTTAACACTTATAAATCTTTTATCGGTGTTTCGGCTTTCATTTTCTCTGGCAGTATAATTTGTTATAGAATTAAATTTTTGTATTTCGTAGATCAGTCGCAAGAACGGAGGAAATTTTAATTTCCAGAATAACACTATGGGCGCCATTAGCTTCTCTATTTTTGACCTCTTTAGAAACAGATTAAAAAATTTTTTTTATGGTTAACATAATATTTTTAGTTGTTGAGGCTGCGCATATAGTTTAAACGATTGAGAAATTTTTGAAGAAATGTACGAAAAGTACGGAAAAGTAGGAAACATTAAAAATACACAATAAAAACTTCGCGTGCTCAACACGTGTTATTTTCCTTTATTTTAGTGTGGTTTATTGGTAAAACTTTTGCTTGTAATATGAGGAAGATATTCTCTTTCCGCTACATATTACATTAAAACCCACTAACAAGGCCAGCGAGATGCGAGGTGTGTTAAGCGTACCTGAAAGTTAGTGAATAAGCCAGACTTGCCGATGACCGTGAAGGAGTAGGAGCTGTCTTGGAGCATGCCCTGGAGGTCGGTGAAGGGCAGCGGGTAGTGCGGCGCCGTGAGGTAGGCCATGAAGTTGGCCGTGTAGCCCGCCAGCAGCACCAGCGCCGTCAGGAAGGACGCCAGGAACACCACCCGCGCACCCAGCAGCCCGGGGCTGTCCGAGTGCCCTGCGCACACGCGGCGCCAGCCAGCGGAAGCACTGGTGCACTGAACGCCGGGAAAGCCTTGCATTGCTGGCGAGAGGCAGGGCCCTATAACTCCCATATAACGGGGTGGAGACCATTACGGTGGCGCGCTCTGCAGCATCACCTTCTTTACAGGAACTAAAACACGAACTGCTACCAACGATACTTTAAACGTGCGTGGCTGCTGCGTGAGTTCGCGGGTCGCAAGCAGGCCCATAATGTTACAAAAAATAACGTCTATGTTTGCGCTTTCTTCAGAGGTTTCGTATAATTATAGGTTATGAGTAATTGTACATTTAGAAGAAACTTTTGGTATTTCTCACAAATTACTCAATTTGTATGTGGGAAAGTTGGCGAGCCTAATCTACAGCTGCACGCGGCGACACTAGCGCTTCCTATAGTAGCAACATCGAGCTTTGCCCCCGGTTTGGATGGCGAGTTGCCGGGCCCTGGCGAGGGGGCTGGACTTGGGGTTTTATTTCTTGGCGCGCGGAGCCTTCTCTTCGCGATGCAATATCGCACGGTGTTTCACCTCTTTCTCGGTTGTGCCGTTAGATGGCGCATGATCGCGACCGTTTCGAGTGAGTATTGGCGATCGTGCGACATCTAGAGGAAGACGACCGAGGAAGACGCGAAATACCGAGAGATATTCCAACGAGAAGAGAAGGCTTCACGAGCCAAGAAATAAAAACCCAGTACAGCAACTGGCATTGTGCTTAATCATAAAACATTACACTTTTGCCCCACTCTAGGCAATCAACTGAATTGAACTAGTGGTTTTCGCCCAAAATTCTTAGGGAATTTTATTAACAATCGCGTACAACTACGCCCTAGGTGAAACAGGACGAGCTTTTCCTTCCATTTATTTATAACAACAATACGAAATCCTACCTGCGTATGGTTATTTTCACACAAATAAACAATTTCTCTGTTTTTGAAAATAAGTTATCGTTCAATAAATTTATTTTAGGAAGTGAGTATGCGAAGCCCTTCCCATACGAGAAACGAAGAGCTTATCATCTATTGTTTTGGAGCTGGACACTTCAGTTATTCTTCTCTTGCTCACACTCAAAAAAAGTGAAAGCTTCACTTTAGATCCTCGATTGCTAGCAATACAATGCACTTTCCCTCCCGGTCGTGGAAGAAGCAATAAGCATAAAGTTGCAAAGAGACCTTGCGCGCAGAAGACGCCCCAGAGGCAGAGGGCGCAGTGGCCGGCGGAGAAGGCGTGGGCGGGCGCGGGGCGGTGCGCGGCCCAGAGCAGGGCTGCCAACAGCGCGGGCGCCGGCGCCAGGGCCAGCCACAGCGAGCGGTGGAACGGCTGCACGAACACCTCCCACTTGGCCGGCGCCTCGCTCGGCGTGCGGATGAACAGGCTCGCCCTGCGCCCCACACACTCACACTCACACTCATGCACGCACGTACTACGTGCTCCTCTGCAAGTGCAGGAGGAAGAAAAAGGGAAATGTATTATTGTCATCTCGGGTGGAATTTAAATTGGTGAAGCGGAGGTGCGGAGAGGAAGGCGGGCGAGGCGGCGGTGGGGCTGAGCGGGGAAGGAAGGAGGTCGGGGTCGGGCAGGGAGAGAGAGTGGGGCGGGGAGGGAGGACGGAGTGAAGAGGGGGCGGAGCTGTGGAGGGCGGGCAGAACTTGGAGCTGGGAGGAGGGCGGAGCGGGGAGTAGACAAGTATCAAGGGCAAGGTATAACTTGTCTCCCAAGCAACAAGCCGGTCAAATATCCCGGTATACTATTTGACAGAAGACTCACTTGAAAATCAAATATCCTTCACAGAATTACTGTGGCCACCCGAATTCTTCACCCCTTCTTATCGTACGTTTCTCCTATCTGGGTCTCGGACAGCAAATCAAATATCCAAAAACAGTGTATCTACGTCCTGGCGGGATCCAGATACCAGCCTGTCGGTGTACTTGTGCAGTGGCGGAAGGCGAAAAGTAAAGTGCCCATCCCGGGGAGCAATGTTGCCGGTGGACCAAGTGATTGTGCGGAGAGGTGGGCCGTGGGAGGAATCCGTGTGCGCACCTGGTGGAGGCTAGCGGCGCGGTGTAGCGCACCACCTCGGCGCGCAGGGAGGTCATCATGAAGGGGCAGATGGAGAGGTCGATGCGCCCCTCGAGCAGCATGCGGATCATGCCGTTCCACTCGCCGTTGGGCCGCTTCGACCCGAACGCGCCGTCCGCCGGCACGTGCCACTCCGACCTGCCAACGCGCAGTAGGGAGAACGTTACGTGACGCTGGTGAAGTTTCGGCAGAAAAGCTCTCATTGCCGGGCACGAAAAAGAGAATAAATTCAAAAAACAATATTTTAATTTTAGAGGATAATTTGTTACTGTTGTTGAATAGTGGGAAAACATTTAAGAGAATAGTGCAGGTCTCATTTTCTATAAAAACCCCGATTTTTAGAAAAATTTCAAAAATTACAAAAATTTACGCTTTTTCCTACAACTTTAAAGATAGAGATTTTTTCCATTAATGAAATCTGTTCCTTAAAGATATATTTTTTAAATAAGGTGATATACAATTATTCAAAGAAATCAGTACTTTGCATGTTAAAGTGAAAGTACAGGCGAGTAAACTACGTGCGTTTTTGCACCACTAGTTTTTACTCATTTAGGTTCGCTTTCCAACTAAGTTTGTGTATAGATTTCACTGAATAGGATTTTGGTGTTATCCCACTTTGTAAATAGTTTTTATGTTCAGTTGTAGTATTTACCTCTATTTGAGCTTATGAAAGCAATTCTTTACAAAGATTTGTATTTGAAATATATTGCTCCTGTGATCATTGGGTAATGTGTTGATACCCCTGCCCGAGCGAGCCCACACACGGACCGAGCCGAGGGGCTGAGGCGATGCTACTTAGGGGTGGGAGACCCCCCGCCCGCCACGGAGGCGGCCCAGCTGGGCCCGCGGCCCTTGCGACGGCGGCCGGAGGTGACGGGCGGGCCTGGCAACGGACGACTTGTGCCACGAAATCATCAGAGGTTTATTGTTCCGGAAAGATGTTTTGTGTAGAGTTTTTCGAGTGTAAAGAAGTGATCGAAATAAAGGCCTGTTTATAAGAAACAAACTTTCATTTACCAAACAACAGTTTTAATTTTGTAATAATATTACTATATAAAGTAATACTCACATATCTAATGTTTTTAATAAATAATGTTTTTGTGACACTTAGAATTCAAGTGTATATTTTGTATGTTGGTAGCCTTTTGGGTCTCCCTGGGGAAGGGGATTCCCTCTCTCGGCTGCGCTTGTGCTCCAACGAGACGTGCTCGTAGACCAGAACTGCAAACTCCATCGATTACATTGAACGTTTGGGAATGTTTCTATCAATTTTACGAAGTAGATTTTGCCAACATTATCCCCTTACCAACGCGTCATATGTAGCAATTTCACCGCACATTTTGATGACGGAGCTCTTGAACTTTGAATCGCTTCACCTCTGCAATCCGTGACAATGGGGAGGTTCCTGTCGCCAGCTTCTGAGAATTACTTTTATAAAAACTCTACTGCGAGGAGGTAAACAATAATATAATATTCCCAATAGTGTTCCCAATAAGAAGTAGACAGTCATTTTGCAGACCCAATGTATTTACACAAGTATGGATTCGGAGATATTAAAGTAACAGAACTTCTGATTATATTATCAATTACCGCTGGCTGATTGGGACACTAATTTAAATCTCTCAATAAATAGTAACTAACTAAAGTAGACGAGAAAGAAGTGTATTTTGGTACTCGTATAATATTGAACTAGTGATCTTGCTAATTAATGCTTCTAATTTTTCCGACAGAAACCAAATATTTGCCAGTGATCCGAAAAATATCTTCTGAATGGTTTAAACTCGAACATTTTTCTTTTAATCTTGAAAAACCAGTTGCGCAGTAAATATGTATTACGTTCACAAGACAGTACAAAGAAGAGAACAGCGATAATAATTTACGAGAAACATTTCTGCTTAGTAATTGTGTTTTTTAGAAGTTTAATCGTTATATTGGATGTAAATTATGTGCTACACAGAAGAGGATAAATAAGCACTTACGTGAAATTCAGAACTTCCGCCAGGTAGCCCCAAATGACGGGGAAGAAGCCACCTACTTGAGTTACAATGCCAGTTTTCTTATCATGCTCCATAGTGATTAACGGAGGATCCTGCGGGAAGAGAACACACAAAATCGTTCACTGGCGGCAAAACAGGGGGAAACTTATAAATCACAAACTGTAACAATGTGTGGTAGTGTAGTGAATGTAAGTACACATATCTGTGGGTCGTGTTCGTTGTGGTGTGGTCTGTGGTAGGTGGTGGGTGGAGGGGTGGGATTTGGTGGGATTAATGGGGTGGGGTGTGGTTGGGTAAGTAACTGACGATAAAATAATAAATGTAAACTGAGATAACTGAAGTGGAGGATAAAAGGAGGAGGAAGGTAAGATAGCGCGAGGTTCTTGGCCCGTTTTTAAATTTGATTGATTCATTGATCGGTGTTTCCAAGCGCGTCAAGTACTAAGATCATTGACACCCAGAAACGCTGGGTTTTAATAACCCGGTGTTTCACATTTCTCGCGAGCGTCTTCGGAGAAAGAAAAATTGTACCTTCAAAAATATTGCCCGTATTCAATTATAGCCTAAGGACTTTTAACTTCAGAAACTTTGACAAAATTAATCACTCACATGAGCTAAATATATTCTGTAATAAAAAAAATTGGCGTGGCACAATTACTAAATATAACTGTGATTGAAACTCAGAAAGGCTGTCTATCTTGCGAGCGCCTTCCGAGAAATAGACCTTTCTTTCTAAACTATTTCTGTTATCAAATCACACTACTACTCTCACATTATTATTATTATTATTATTGATGATTATTATTATGATTATTATGATTATTATGATTATTATGATTATTATGATTATTATGATTATTATGATTATTATTATGATTATTATTATTGTAAATAAAAATAAGTATTCTTTAACAAAAAACTGTTAAACTCAAACGATTAGTTACACTTAACCGATATTACATACCAGGAACATTTTCTGTCCTGAGAGCGTTTTCAAAAAGAATAAACAGTTGCATCTAATCCCGTACTAAATCATACTCCACGGTAAATTTCCCCGTAACAAGTGCTAAATTTATTGTTTAATAAAAACATTACCACGACACAATTAGTTAAAATTAAACTGGTTTTGAAATCCAAGTAAGTTTTCCATCCTTGGAGCGTCCCCAGAGAAACTAGTGGTGCTAAAACAGCTATGTTACATACTTTTTCGTTCGTATTTTCACGAAAAATTACGCGAAAAGTACTGAAATTTTCGAAACATTGTACGTGACCTTATTTCAAAATTTTTGTCAGGAACATTTCATTAAGGGAAATAATCTCTATCTTTAATATTTTAGTTGTAAGAAGACTCCTAACAAATTTGAACTTTTGCAATTTTCAAAACTTTATAATCAACGAAAATGAGACCTACATCATTCTCTTAAACGTCCTTCACACTACCGAACAAAAATATTTATAAAATCAATTGCTTTTTCATGTCTTTTTTTTAATTTGGAAATTGTACTAGGGACTTCAAGTAAAGTATCTCCAATATTAAAATATCAGTTCCAAATTCAAGGGCTCGCGGCAGCAGTCATATCGATTGGGGAATGTCGGTTGAACTGTTCAGTCGCTAGCGTTGTTCATAGACGGACAGATATTTTGCCGTCATTCGATTTTTCGGTATGAAGAAACCCCACAAATACTAATTCTGGCCGTAGCCAGAACGTACAGAGAATTTTCGTCCCTAGCAACGGGATTTATCCACTTTTTCGTTGCCAGGGCTCTGTAATAAGAGTTTTTCGTCCGAAAATTCGCTGTTGTTTCGCGTAACATTACTCATAACTCTCTCACTACTCCGTAGCGACAAAGTAAAGAGAGACCATTCTATGAATCTATGCGCGAATTAAATGATTCTCATTAAACGCATAATTTTCGGCTAACAAATGCTACATCTGTTCATTAATAAAAAATTTGTAACAGTTTCTGATGAACGATCACCTTTTCTCCGCGTACCCTTGCAGAATGGATGTTTCTGAATTTCAATACCGGTTGATTTTTACTAATTAAACCGTTGACAATTATTTTTTATAGACGAATATATTTAGCAATTTTTTGCGGCTAATTTTATCATAGAGTGTGATTTGATACGATCAGTAGTTTAGAAGGAACGGTCTCCTTTTTCTTCAAAGACGCTCGCAGGATGGTCAACGTTTCTGGGATGCAATACCAGTTAATTTTAATTAATCCTCCACAGTCTATAATAGAACATACTTCGCACTAGTTGGAGGCAAATTTTGTCATATATGTTAATTTGACACAAGTAATGGTTTAAAACTTTAGGTCTCTTTTTTTTCAAATACGCTCACGGAATGAACAATGTCTCTAGGTTTCAATACTGTTAAGTTTACTTAATAGTGCCAAGGCAATTATTTTTATTACAGAATGTATTTAACTTTAGTTAGGGACTCACTTGAAATATAGTGCGACTTGATATGGGCATTCGTTTTGACGGAAAAGTCCCTTCTTTCTCACCAAAAGTTCTTCAGGCGTAGAGATGTGATATTTCTAACTTGTAATGGAAAGTAGATTCTCGGCAAATAATTCAAGGTAAGTTTTGTGTTTACACATCTTATGACAGATGTTAAAAAGCGACAAACTGAGCGCCATCAGTTTTGAGTTTGAAACTATAATAACCATTTGAACCACTGGTCATGTCAGTCGAGTTTTATTATTTATTATAAAGCCGTTACCGCCAGTAAAATCAATGTTGGAGTTCTTTATGTATGATGAAATGCGAGGGCACCTTCGTGTGAGGTTAAAAAAGTTCTCATTTGCAAGTGAAGAAACTTAAGATCCATTAAAAAAGATGATACAGTTTTTTCTAATTATAAAAAATATTAAGAATAACAGTTCTACGACTTATCATATAATTCAGTGTTGTTGGGTGAAAACAGCATTTGGTTCAGAACCGAAAGTGTGTACTTAGACTCGTCTACTCGTATAAAGATGGTTTTATATCAAAGGGCATAAAATGCTTTAAATTCACATTATTACTTCCAACAATTGGTCATCGTTTGCCAAGTAAAACCCGTTGTCCTGGACGCAAAGGAACCAAACGCTCTCTGCTGGCGACTGCGGACGAGGCCTTGCGAGTTTTTCCTGGCGATCAAGGTAGATTTCCTGGTACTTTCCTAAATATTTCAATTTATTTCCCATCGCTTCTCAATTAACAAAGTCAATTATAATTCATTCGACGCGGATAAATGAGTCTAGATTCATATTTTTGTCAATCCTAAAATTACATAGAGAGAGAGAGAGAAATAAAATATTTAAAACCTAATGAAACGATACTCCTGATTACCCAAATTATCTTATAACGTACAGTTATATTAGTCCTGAATAGTGTTAAAAACGTATAGCCTTAAGTTCTCCGAAAAATACTCTTAGCCCACTGCATGTCTCTGTTTTATATTCTTAACTTCTCTTTACTACATGAACTTATGCATTTAGGCACTTCAAGGTATTCTTTCGTTTTTATGGAACTATATTTCCATTCCGTCTTCTCTTTCGTATATTACATTTCCTACACTTTGTCTATTGCACCTCTTCTTTCTTCTTATAAAGATCCTTTACATTCATTTTCTTCTTTGTATATTTCACCTTCTTTTCATCTTTTTCCTTTTCTTCTCCAACACTTTCTTCTTCTTATTCTCCATTCACCCACTTCTTTCGTCCTCCTTTCTCTTGATCGGCCTACCCTCCACCTCGCCTCCTCCGATATTTGATCTTTTGGATGTTCCTCTAGACGACGCTCGTTTTTTCCCTGCTTTTTCCTTAAACTGAATTGAATTGAATTGAATTGAATTGAATTTGCCTTATTTTACGTGGCGAGACTCGCCCCTTTCCTCTCCTGCTCCTCGTAAGGCGAGCGCTGCGCGGCATGTGGCGCGAGGGGGGAGGAGGGCGGCTGCCGCTGCTGGTGGGCGCGCCGGAGTGGGGCAGCGAGAGCGCGCGGGGCCTGCCGTCGCCGTCG